TGCTTGGGATACATTAATAAAATTCCTATTCATGCACTTATATTTTACTAGATGGAAGTACACAATGATAAACTGACGTAAAGTACTTCATCTTATAGTGAGAATACAATCATCAGAGGGAAGCAAGGACACTGGAAAAGGGAAACAAGGTTGGCGTGATGGGGGGTGGGAACTAAAAGGGAGGATATTAAACAAAAGGAGCAAAGATCTGAGTAAGCATCCCAGTGAAAGGCAGGAGTAGCGCAAGGGAGTATTAACTGCGTGGCACTTGCATAGCAGTTATGAGTTCATCGGTACTGAGTACATCCAGTACAGTAGGGAGCCATCTCAATATTTTGACCTGTGTGATATTGTGTTGTTTTAGGATGCTTGACCATTGTCTGCCCACGTGGTACTGGGGACTGAATCCAGGGCCGCACACATTCTGGCTGTTTTAGTTACTTATCTGTTGCTGTGATAAAACACCATGACCAAGGCAACTTATAAAAGAATTTATTTGGGCTTCTGGTTCCAGAGAGGTAATAGTCAATCATACAATGGGGAGTAGCAGCAGGCATAGTGTAGGTGCAGAAAACTAAGACAGTTTTTACTGAAAGCAGAGACGAGAGGGGCTGGGGGAGAAAGAGACAACAGAGAGAACACAGTGGAGACGGGGAGACTAGACAGTCTCGAAGCAACCTCCAGTGATATACTTCCTCCAGGAAGGCTGTACACCTTAAGCCTCCCCAAACAGCACCACTAACTGAGGACCAAGCATTCAAATGCCTGAGCTTATGCCTCTTCAAAACCTACTTTAGGTACCAATTTCTGTCTTAGTTTGTGTCTCTGTTATTGTGATAAAAGTAACTGACTAAAAGCAACTTCCAGAAGAAAAGGTTTATTTGACTTACAGGTTACAGTCCATCACGAGGGAAGCCAAAGCAAGAACTCATAGCAGGAACTGGGAGGCAGGAACTGAAGCAGATATCATGGAGGAATGCTGCTTACTGGCTTGCTCCGCTTGATTTCTTAGAAAACCCAGGATTACCTGCCTCTAGGAGTGGCATTTCCCATAATGTTCTGGGGCCTTCTGCATTAATCATAAATCAAGGAAACACAACCTCACTTCTTACAGTCTAATATGATGGAAGTAATTCCTGAGTTGAGATTCTCTCTTCCCAGATGACCTGGGTTTATCTCAAGTTGACAAAAACTAACAAGAACATTAACAAGTGACCTACTACTAAGCCACAGACAGAACCCAGGGTGCTTCTCATTACGCAGAGCTGCACGACAGAATCAGCTACAACTGTAGGGACAAGCTGTAGACTAACAACCACCTTGCTACAGTAGAGGAATGATTCCAAGTCTTGTGAGGTATCCAGACTTTATGACAGAATATTAAGGCCTCAGTGCATTATAAGAATGTGATTATTTTATAGTCTTATACTTCAGGTATGCCCCTAATACCTAGTAGATTATAAATAGTTCTTATCATTATAGTTTACAGACTCACAGGGGGGCTACAAACCCACAGGAACCCCAATTCAGTAATAAAAGACAGTTACTTATACAATTAAGCAAGAACATTGGATTTTGAATCTACTACAAATGTATTCCCCTACTGAGACATATGTCCAAACAAAATAGAATCCCATACATGACAAAGTAAGATACGACCAACATTTGTGGTAAACACAAACTGGAACAAAACAGACATCTCTAAGATCCATATTGTGGAAAAACCAAGCCTTGTGAGAATGTTTCGTTTCATTATGAGCATAGGAACCTTACCTTAAATAATTGGGTGACTATTTTTAAAGTAGATCACCTAGGCTACAGCCCATTTTAAAGCTCTATATGATATACATGTGTGTATATATATATATATATATAGTCTCTGATATAAAAAGCGACAAACCTTTACTTTGTGAAGGTACATGACCAATGACAGCTGATTTTATGTACTTCCACTTCTAAGAATTTCCTTTAATAAGAAAAATTCACTTGTAGCAAAAGACTAAAAAAGCAAAATAAAACAAAACAAAAAGCCCAAACAACAGGAAATCCTAGTCAGCCCACTCATACTCCTCTAAGGTATGGGTTGTGGCAGATTCAGGTTGATGCCTACTGTGTCAAGCACTGGCACTGTGTTGTCCAGGGAGATGAAGGTAGGTGTGTTTGTGTGTGTGGTGTGCATGGGTGTGGACTGGAAACACCTCAGAACACTGTATGACTGACAGAAATAATGTAGGCCCCAGAAGGTGACCGTCTGCTGCAAATGAACGGACATTTTCCCTATCTGAATAACTGTTCTCAAGTTCACATTTTATGTATTTGAAATAACTAAGCTATTTTAACCTCAGAATCTTCAGACTCAGCAGTGTTTGCGTATTCTGGTTTCTGATCCTGGTATGATGATGTTGGCTGGGGTTTGAAGGATGGTATTTTTAAAAACGGAAACAGAAATAAGGTGGAACATTATTATTTATAGTCCTATCATCTCATTTAAAGGAAAATTTACCGTGTTTTGGTGGTTGGTGTTTCCTAGGTTAAAGCTGTAAGTATGTATACCAACTGTCTGGTAACTGCCATGCATGACAAGAAGAGTGTGTGTATAATAAAATTTAACATTTGAATTTTAGGTAACTGATTCAATTTTCTTTAGAAGTGTTTTCTTTCTTCAGTGTTATCTTAGAATGTATGCCCCTCAACCTTTGCTAGAAATTAGTGGGCTGGGGTACTTTCAAAACGTATCCACGACTAAGATCCTAGTTCTAGAAATTCATTCATTTGCTCTAAGGTTAGGTTCAAGTATTTTTAAAAGTGACCCATGTCATCTTCATGTGTTAACTCTGAAAACTACACAAGATAGTCTTAAATTATACTAAGTTTCTAGAGTCTGGCTGCAGCTCTATTATTTATCATATTTATAAATCTTCTGATCTTGGTCTTCAATTTCCTGTAAAACACTTAAATCAATTGGGCTAATATGATCTCATCTGGTTTGCATAAAGTAGTAGAAAGCTAATTTGGATTATGAATCCGGTTGAAAACAGGTGTTGGTAGTAGCAATGAACAGTAATAATGATAATATAAAACAAAATATAAGCAAACGTTTTCATTTCTTCTTTCCAGTTACAAAGCATGGGAGAAAAACAATATAGACATTTCAGCTTAGAAATCACAAGAGACGTGTAGCGCAGCTTTGTCTGTTCCCAGTTCTCTCAAATTGAGACTAGTCAGATGGTACCTGGGGAACAAAGGGAGGAGGGAGGGAGAGCTTACTACACGTAAATATAATACAAACCCCGAAGGCTTTACTCACCAGCCTATAATCTGGCCTAGTACTAAGCGAGTGAGTGTGGAAGGTGTGGTAGGGGTGTGTACATACACACGCACGAACACTCTAACCTTGCTAACCGAAGCACCTGTCTAGTGCCAGGAAGAGGAAGAGGGGGTGATCCGGCTCGCCTCCGCTGGCTCGCCCCGCCCCCAGGGAGAGCTGTCTGGGCTGCGCTCGGCTTCTCCGGGAGCCGGCGCCGAGGTAGCCACCTCCCTCCTTACTGGAGTCGGTTTTCTTCGCTTTTGCACTGAGCCTGTCTCCAGGCTTCTAAAATCAGGCGACCGCTCCAATCCTGTTTCTCCTCTAGACTAGGGTGGCCGGCAGGAAAGGGCCAAACAGCCCGATTCCTCCGGGGACGAGATCTGACCCTTTCTCCCTCACGTCTTCCAGGCGCCTCCTCGCCCGGAGCCTCGGGTAAACCGCCTCCATCCAGCATCCTCCCTCTCTTCTGCGCCTCTCGGTGCAGTCGGTACCGACAACCCAGTTTTCCAGAACTTCCGCACTCCCTCCCAGGTCCCAGCCCAAGACTCTACCCGCGCTCCCCACTCCCTCTGGTCACTCCTCCCGCTCTTCCCCGCTCCAAGTCCCCGGTCGCTGACACCGCAGGGACACCCACCTGCTCCGGTCTCCCCTTTTCCAGGACCCGGCCCCGGTCAGCTCGGGAGCGCCCGGTCCCTCAGGCTGCGGCCACCAGAGAACCTCCCGCCCCCGCCGCCCCGCACCCCGGGGCGCCCGCTCCCTCGCAGCCCCACTCCTCACAGCTCCCCGCCCCAGCCCTCAGCAGGGTCCGGGGCGGGCGTCGGCCGAATCCCGGCCTGGGCGGTCGGCAGGCGACGCGGGCCCCGCGGGAAGAGCCCGCGAGGCGGAGGCGGCGCGGGCAGGCTGCACCGAGCGGCGGCGGCGCAGTGAGCGGGCCCGACGCGCCGACTCCGCGGACACTGGGGGCGGCGGCGGCGGGACCCCGGGCGGGCGCGTGATGAGGCGCGGCGGGCGGCCGGCCCCGCGGCGCGTGCGAGCTCACTTGGGTCCGGGCGTTGGCAGTCTCGGGCCGCGGCCCGGAAGAGCGGCCGCCTCGGGCCGGGGTGGGGGCGGGGGTCCCGTGCCGCAGCCCGCGCCTCGTGGTTCCCGGAGGGGTCCTCCCTCGCGGCGCCCCGGAGCCGGGTGACGCGCCAGCCGGCGGGACAGCCGCTCTCGCCGCCTCCGGACGCTCGGGGCGAGTTCCCGGGACTCCCCAGGGGGTCGGGCTCGCGGGCAGCGCTTCCCGCTCCGCCGCGCAGCGGCCGGACACTCGCGCCCCGGCCCGCGCGCCGCCTCCCTCCAGTCACCCCACCCTCAGCCGTCCCCGCCACCTTACTCCACCGCCCTCCCCCGCCGCTCCGCGCACTCCGCGTCGGGGCCTCCAGCTCCTCGCTCCCGCGAACCGCTCACTTGTCAGCCCTTCGCCCCCGGGAAGAAGAAACATTTCCCCGAGCGCACTCCTCAGCCCTCCCCCCTCGGCCCTCCCCTCCCCCTGCTCGCTTTCCTGGGGGAGGGGGGCTGTCGCCTCGGATTGAAGGCCATTGATTTGTATGTATTTGTCCCAGCCCCGGAGGCTGCCCCAGCCGCCCGCGCCCGAGCCGCCGCTGCCAGCGGAGTTGCCTCCCTGCTTCCCTAGGGTGGTTCGGCTCCGCCAAACATGTCGGCTCCGCTCGGGCCCCGGGGCCGCCCGGCTCCCACCCCGGCGGCCTCTCAGCCTCCTCCGCAGCCCGAGATGCCGGACCTCAGCCACCTCACGGAAGAGGAGAGGAAAATCATCCTGGCTGTCATGGATCGTCAGAAGAAAGAAGAGGAGAAGGAGCAGTCCGTGCTCAAGTAAGGACCCGGCTCCATCTTCCCGCCTCCCTCCCTGCCCTCCGCCCCCCTCGGCCGCTTCCCCGCGACCGCCTGCGCGCCCGGGATCGCCGCCTTTCCTCCCCGCCGGTGGCGCCGGGGCCACGAGGGCTGCGGCCCGCTGCCGCCGGGGTCGCTTTCTAGTTGTCAGCCGCGGGGGTGTGTGTGTCGCGGAGGGAGGGCGCCGAGGCCGGCTGAGGTGACGGTGGCGAGCTCGGGGAGGCGGCAGTTTCCCCGGCGCCCTCCGGCTTTCCCCGCGGGCCACTTGGGCTCCCGGGATGAGGCTGAACCCCGGCTCCTCGCGTCCCATTTCCTTTCCCGCCGCCCCCGCGCGGAGGCAGTGACTGGGGCAAGGAATCCAATATGGCCGTGCACAGGTGCTCCCGGGCCGGACCCGGGTGAAGGCGCCCAGGCCCGGGGTGCGGGTGCCACCGGGGTCGCTCGTCCCGCGCCTGCGAGGGCCGGCTCTGTCCCCAGCCCCGGGAGGAGCTGCGCTGCCCACGGTCGCAGCGGGCAGGAAGGCTGCGGGGCAGGCGAGGGGGGCCTAAGCGCGGTCGCGTCTCGGGTGGGTGTGCGGCCGCCGCCATCTTCCAGCCCCTCCCCCTCGGCGGGTGCTAACACCCTGCACTCTGCTGTTCTTCCTGTTTGCAACTAGTAAATCCGTAGGATCCCGAGGAGACTCCGGTTCCTACCATCGTGGCAGCAGTTTGGGTTGCTCCCTGCCTTGTGAAGTTCTACGATGTTTGCTCACAGTCCAGCCAGCGGGATTTTGGCGAGGGTGGGAGGCGTGAAAGTAGCACCCAGGCATCGGTTTAGAGGCGGTGTAACTTCAGCACCAGGGAGCTGTCCAGAATGAGTTTTCCTCTGCTTTGGGATTCCTTGTCAGTGTAGCACTGTAGCTGAGATTGTTTCTACAGGTTTGCTTTTAAATGTTTTATGATTTTTGATATCTCAGTTACTTCGGGAAAGTCACTGTCTAGATCTGTAACCCTTTAATGTTTATCCAAGTTTGCTTGAAATGAGTTACTCACTATAAAAATTAACCAGTATAAGCCTAAAGAGTGGACAGTTCTTTTGCATGTCACGGAATACATTTTCCCATAATCTACAGAAACACACAACTAAAAACGCTGACTTCTTCCGTGAAAAGAAATAACATACTAATAAGCATCACTTATTTTGAGACCAGGTTGTTGAATTTAGTATTGTTTCACAAATGATAACACATTGTCTAGATCTACATTTTTTTCACATTTTAGTGAAGTAGATTTTACAAAACCTATAGTAACGAACTTATATCAAATAGATATAGATCTTTGTAAAAGATACAATTTCTCACAAAATAATAAAGGAACAAGAGAGTGAATGTATTCCTGGCATAGTAACCGAAATTAAGAATTGCTTCAATACTAATTTTTAGGTTTAAATATTTACTAGGGAATTTGGCTTATTCATGGACATAGGATATGAACAAAAAGTTAAGAAATTTAATCAGCTTAAACTATGGAATAATACAGATAGTTTTTAAAGAAGCTTCTTGAGCATGCTGTAACTTAGCTCTACTTTAATCTGTATACCAATATGTGCTAAGATTTTGATTATTAAATTTATATTCAGATATATAAATTTATACTTCTGAATATAGTTGCTAAAAATCAGTGTTGCCATAGTGATACCCAAATAAAATATGGCTTTATTTCTTTGACCCACATATTTAAATGGAAATGGGTTTTATTTATAGTAAACTAAATCAGAGTGTTTATTGGCTAGTTAATTTTATGTAGCTTTTATTCACAGTTTCAATACATGAACATATAAGTGAATGTTTGAGTGCTGAACTACAAATTGCTCGAAATGAACAGTGTACTTTATTGAATAGATGTTATTAAAGGGTTTTCCAGGTCAAGTATATGTGTGTACATCTTTAAGTAAACCTACATACTTTGCAAATACATACATTTATTTCACATTATTTAGGCAGACACAGTCTCTAAACATAGCTATATAATATGTGAAATCACATCAATAAGAAATATAGACAGATTTAAGTACTTATTTACATAGGTTTAGATATTCTTTAAAATGCTTTTGAAATGAGATTGGGCAAGGAAACTGTGAATAAACTTTATAATATTATCTCAGTAACAAGAGGCAAGTCAGTTGGAAAAATTTCAGCCATTTATTAAATAATATGTTCCCAGTCTTGGGTGTTAAAGAACAAATGTGCTGTGTAGAAAAAAATAGTGCTGATAGTTGTGACTACTCTTTCTCTGGAAAATTTAGGCCAATGTATCAGCTCCTGACTTAACTATCGTTTAGTTGAATGCTAGCATCTTTCCTGAGAGAAGGTCATAGGCACAGAGAAGTAAACTAAAATTCAAATTAATATTGACTGCTTTTTAACTATCATAATAAAAATAAGTTTGATGTGTGAAGAAATTGAAGACTGGATAAAAATATTTTGTGTGATCAGCGGGTTTCAGTATTCATACTAAATATTGTGCAAAGTAAGATGTGTCTACCCAAGGGCATGACAAGATGCTATACTGGAATATAAGAAGAAGGTCTTAAACGTATAGTCCTATCTCTGCTTGAAAAAAAAAGACCAAGCCCCGTTAATACTTAGTATGGTTAGCTAATACTAACGTGCATATAATTTATGAATAAATGCATACATTAAAAGTTCAAGCCTGAGATCTTTTCAATAAGAAAGATGAGCCATCAAAACCGGTTGAGGCCACCACACTGAATTCTCTTTTAAGAGACTGAGTAATTAGTAATTAGTAATTCTTACTTCATTCTCAGTGATTTCTTTAAGGCCCAGCTGTGCATACATACCTAGGAAGTCTTCTGTCTGTCAAACAATGCTATCTTACATGTGAATCAGGTTCTTTATTTTTCAAAGCATTTTTAATCCCACTAACCCCCTTGTTAATCACTAAAACAAAAGAAAACAAGGCCCTTCCATGGATTCCTGCAGCAGTTTCAGTCCTGAGTCTTGAGGAATTACTGGTTATCTTGCTCCATGGCATCCTTAGCACATAATAGCTATCTAGGAAGGAATGTTGAGCTGAATTACCGTGCAAATGAGATGGTTCACTCATTCTGTGGAAAAAAAAAAGAGGAATCATTGTTTTGAAAGAAAAACTATTTAGGGAATGTTGTATTTCCATTGTCTTTTTTGTTTTTATTTTGGTCTGACTAAAAATCAAGTAGAAAGGTATTCAGTAAATGTGTATGGTGGTTTTGTTATGTAGGTAACATAGTCTTTTATACAAAGTGTTTTGAACACTTTTTCCTTCCCTTTTTCCCTACTTGTTTTTTTAAATCTTTCCCCCTCTTTTCCTCCCTGTCTTTCATTGATAGTGTCTTTATGTGTGGCCCAGGTTGACCTTAAGCGACCCTTCTGCCTCTGCTTTTCCAATCTCACGGCTAGGATTACCAGTCATTGCGCTACCACAGCTAACTATTTATGTCTTTCAGGAGATGTGTAGTGTCTTTGTTCTCAGCTTGGGTTTTCTACTAATGTTAAAAGGACAATGTGCTCCTCCTCAAATAGAGAGTGTAAAGCACACTCATGACAGATTAAGTTAACATATTGTACACACACATCAGTAGTTATACATGTTTTATTGTACTTAGTTTAATTCATTTATTTATGTTTGAGACAGGGTATTGCTTTGTAGCCCTGGCTTGCTTGGAATTTGCTATATAGGCCAGACTGGCCTAAAACTCAGAGATCCACCTGTCCCTGCCACCCAAGTACTAGGATTAAAGATATATGCTACTGTTCCTGGTTAAATTTTTGTTTTATTTTATTATTTTATTTTAGGACAAGGTCTTTCTACATAGCCCTGGCTGTCCTGAAACTCACTATGTAGACCAGGCTAGCCTCAAACTCACGCAGCCTCTGCCTCAGAAGGGCTGGTATCATAGATGTGTACAACACCACACCTAGCTTAAAAATTTTAATAACGTAATTTTATAAGTGGTTTCTAAAGTTAGTTTACATTTTTGATTTAATAGATAATATATACTTTTGCTACAAATATCTTATTTACCAATTTATCCATGTGCAATTATTGTTACTAGAATATTTATTCTATACACAATATAGTTGAGGCACAAATATATATACTCACATAACTAGGTGTATTTATATATTAGTGCACATACATGTATGCATGTTTGTGTGCAAACATAAAGATACACGTATGTCCTGCATTTTGGGAAGTGAGTTCCACATTGGGTTAAGTGCCAGTGAATGTTTTGAAAGTTCTTTAACTACTGGCATACTTTTAGGTACTTTGGATGTTTCTGTTTTCTGCTGGAGACAGTGCTTTGATACACTGTTTTTAATGTGGAGACTGTATCTCTGGGCTAAATTTTTAGAAATAAATTGTTCTTTTAAAGAGTAGATAAACTTCAATAAATACTACCAAATTTATTTTTGTAGAGGAAGTGTGTATACTGAGGAGACTTTCCTACTTCCTTGCCAAATCAGTGTGTGGTAAGCTTGGTCAGAATTTCAGTAATAAATATGCCATTGTAGATTTAACTTGCAGTTTTCTTATTATCAATGATAGTGAGAACCTTTTCCATTTGTTTAGGATCATTTCTATTTCCTTCACTGCTGGTAATTTTTCTAATATTTATGTCCGCCTGTCTGCCTATTTCTCTATATGTGTCTCTCTCTACCATAGCACACCAGATAAATGAATCATAAAGACATTTAAATAAAGATGACCATTTCATCATGTAAATATCCATTGCCTTTGCCAGAGATGAAAACGTTCAGTTTTTAAGGATTCAAATGTATTCTAACAATTGCTTGGTACTTTATAATTATAAAGTGTCTAGTGAAATTTTAATATATATTTTGTATTTTAAAATAGAGGAAGAATTAATAATATTGTCCACTTGACAGTGCATTTTAATAAAGGGACAGTTACACTGTGTGAACAAAGAGATAGTGGAGGCTA